TTTTCTTCTGCTTATGTGGTGCTGAGGAATCGAACCCAGGGCCTCATGCATGCAAGGCAAGCGCTCTACCACTGAGCCATCTTCCCAGCCCACTCCCAAATTTTCTTATAGACAGTATTCACAAATGTTATTGGACAATTGACCTGACAGTCAATATTCACATTTCTAACCATCAACAGGAAGAAATAATTAGGAGTTTCAAAAACATTTTACAGTAATGAATGTGTCAAGCAGCTCAACTGCTATCACAGTGAGCGAAAAGCCTAAGACACTCTGTTCCTTTCCACTGCTTGCAATGTCCTTTGAGTCCCTACAAATCATCTATAGACTGGAAAATGAAGTTAGTATATATGCTCATAATTAAACTTCAATATCAACACTTACAAATGAGATAAATCCTAACCACAGAATTAGTCATTATGAAAATTGTATAGAGGCAGTGGAAGAGTTGAAGGCCACTTGATCTTTCCCACTTACGTTTTCTTCTCAACAAGAAAACACAAAGAAAAATAGGTATGGCCAAAACAGCAAAAAGAAGTCAGGAAGCCAAGGAACTAGCCAGATAACACTTTATTGTGGTTTGCTAGTAGTAGATCATACAATACCTCAACATGTACAATTGTTTTTGTGTAACTTGCTTTGACAGAAGCAGCGATGTGACATTTAAAGGCATTTAGCCTCATCTTATGTCAGTCTGGTCAATGGTTGCCTATTGTAGAGTTCAATAGTTAGTGGAAAAAGGAAAATCTGGTCTTAGAATTTCAAACGAGGGACTTCATGATATGCAGCCCATATGTGTAAAGTGCTTATGCTCAGTGCAAAATAGGGCAAACTCAGAAGGGCAAGCAGAGGCCAGGTAAAGATACTGCCTGGGTGTCAGATGCATTTATGACACAGGAAGGAAAAAAACCACTCGTTAAATTTTACTCCTAAGGGATTTTAGTATTTTCCTTATTTCCCTTACTCTTCTCTAACAAGATCAAAATTGAATCCAACAGATGTTCACAGATACTCAGTTTTTTTATTTTGCTATTGAAATGTTTGGTTCAGATAGAAATCCACAGGGTTTCTAAGCACCAGATATTTATCTACAGCTTTCAGCTCCTGTTTGTCTCAGCATCACAGGTGAGATAACTGAGCTCTAGCTGGTGGAAGACTCAGGGTTTCAGAGCTCTCCTTTAGACCCCTCATTCGCAAATCCAAATCAAGAGTTTGACAGGCCCTTTCTCAAACACTAACATGTCACATGGGAAGACAAGCCAACCCACGTTCAAGAAGTGCTTTACCTGGTTTTCCACCAACTGGACATGATCTGTTCATTGTACCTTCCTCTGGTTCCTATCCAGACTCTTGGCCCCAGGCCCAACTCTGTTAAGATAGACTCAGGTATTCGCATATTCACCCTGTGGTCTCAAAGAGACTGAAGAGAAGAGGAGTGGTTTCTTAACCAATTCAAGAGGCACAAACAGAATGGGAACTCAGATTCCCAAAAGCTAGCCATTCAGTCACAGGATTTCAACTACCATTTATCTCTCCAGGCTCTAAAGAGGAAGCCATGTTCCTGTACCCATCAACTTTGCAGTAGGGATATTTACAAGAGCCAACCTTGTGCTTGCAAACAACTGCCTTGTGTCCTTACTCGGACAGGTCTGTTTGTTCTTCCCCTCAGAATGAATGTAACCGGACATGCTCTGCTCATGTGATGTCCTCCCAGATTTGATCATCTCTACCGCAGCCAGAGCTTTCTGGTGCTGGTGTCGGAAAAGCCCCATCTTCAGGCTACCTTCCAGACTTGCGTCATTGGAGTCACCTGAAAAACCATTTCATTCCACAGGTTGAAAAGTCAACTATGAATTATGGGAAGGGAGTAGCTATCCTTTTGGTGTTGCTCTATAACTTTCTGTTAAACCCAGCTAGTTAAGAAGAGCTACCAATGTTGCATGGAGAGGGGACTGTGTACAAACAGGAGAACCCGGGTTAAGAACCAAAACGCAGGGAAGGTTTTCAGACTGGCAGAAGTCTAAAGTAAAGTGCCTCTTTTTAAAGGAGGAGGGTCTCATTTGTTCAGAAAATGTTTGGGCATAAACATGAGTGCATAGGAACATGCACACATATGGGCGCACGTACAGGCACACACACACGCGCGCACACACATACACACACACACACTCACTCACTCTGAGGTAGAAAGAACTGGCTATCTTCAGACAAACACAGATTCCCAAGTCTACAGAAACATGGCACTTGTGTGAAAGGTCCTATTCTTGCCTAAGTAGGAAAGAAGGGGCCATTCCAGCTCTTTTCCATCTGGGGCAGAGCCAGAGAAGTCCTTTTCCACAGGAGAAGAGAGGTTGTAGGGCACTGCTCCTGTTGCCACAGTTCTCAGGCTATGTTTTCTTGGCCCTGCTACTCAGGATCACTTCCTGGAGCCTGAGCCATGGGTACCACGGGAGAGGCTTGTCAGAAGCCACTGGGCACAGATGTCTTGTACTACTGCATCCCCGCTGCTCTTGGCAGCCTGTTGCACCTGCTGGACAAGGGTGGTGGCCCGGGAGTGTTCTTGCTTCACGGCAATCAGGTATGCAGAACGCAGTTTGCAACAAGTAAGGTAAGCCTGAACCTGGTATTTGAGAGACAATGAAAAAGAATCAGTCACAGATGAGTCACCAACAAATACGCAGAGCTGAATCAGACGATGTAAGCACACAGCACTTTTTACCAACCAGTGTTGGGATACTGCCTTTACTGTATTATAAGCAATTCTTTTTTTTTTTTTTT